CAATCCCTTGCTGACCTCCAGAAACTCACCTGACCTGTTCCAAAGTGCTCAGCACCTGGCCCTGGGTTTGCATCTTGCTACCCTGGCTACCCTGCTCTCAATTTTAGCCCACTGGCCAACACCATCCTGGCATTCCATTTTCAGTCCTCCAGCTAAAAAGCACCTCAGGTCACCTCTAACCACCCCAAACCTCTCTGACCCCTTCAGACTGGCCTTCAGCCAGCTGCTCTGGCCCTTCCCAAGTCCAAACTGGTCTCCCACTAGCCTTTCTGGCCCTTCCTGACCACTGGACCAGTCTTCAGCTGGTACTTCTGGTCTCCTCTGGCCCTAAGAGTGGTCCCCACCTCTCCATTCAGCTCTTGCTGACCATCAGACCAGTTCCTGGCCTTCCTGGTGTTCTGTCCCCTTGACTGGTCTTCAGTCTCACTGTTTCCTCCAGATGACTTGCTTTAGCACAACTGGCTTCAGCCACTCCCAGTGTCACACACCATAGGTGTTTGGTGAGGTGGACATGGATACAGCTGATGAATGGAGGTGAAGACCATAGCCCTCATGTGAAGAAGGACAGCCTGAAATGTCAGCAGTCATCCCTCACACAAGAACAAGCCATCAGTGCCAAAGAAAAAGAAAGGGAGCGAGTTGAGTGCTGGCTAAAATTCTTAAGTGCCCATGTATGGCATTCCAGTTTTCAACATGTCTCTTCCATTTCTGCAGATACTGAGACCATTCCCACACTCGCTTGTAGTGCTCAACCACATGATCCTACCTTCCAAAATTGGCAAGGATTTGCACACTCCACATGTTTCTACAGCACTCCCTCCAAAAGACACTCATTTCACTAATTCTTCTGATATGGCCACCACCATGTCAGTCATTTCACTTGTCCCCTTTGCTAGGGATCATGGCTACATATATCTAACAGGAGTTCCTACCAGCTTCTGTCCTGAAGCATCCTGGTACATCCCACCCTCATCTGCACCCTCTCAGCCCATCCAGCTTGGACAGCATGTTCTTTCTGTCAGTATGACCTCTAGGAGGACATTCTTTGGTTTCCTCAGGTCTGTCATTTGCTTTGAAAGGTCTTATGTGGTCATTTCAGTCTCTCCGGTCCAAGAAGCATATGGATCCTTCCTCCCTGCTCCCTGCAGTGTCTTCATACCAGTCTTGTCCATCATTCCTCCAAGACTGTGACAGCTACAGTATAATCTACTATTCTCCACTCTCCCTGATCGCATTCATGATGGGTATGATGCACATCTTGCCTCCTTGTTGCAAGATACAGCAGAAGATGCTCCCCCTTCATCCTCTCTTCCAACAGAGCCTCATTTATGAAGTTTTTATTTGCTTCACTGAGAGGATGGTTTGGGGGGGGAAGTTGTGATCCCCTATGCTCCTGTCACCCCACAGACCCCCAAAGCTTGACCCCTGTTGACATCTGACTCACCCTGTCCACTTTTGGATGTACTATATCAGCATCCGATCAGGCTGCCTCTCTGTCATCCCACCTTGGCCTAGAAGTGATCTCTTTGAGATGTGACATGCACAGCCTCCCCCTAATGTGATTCCAGTGTGCTTTCCCAGTTCCTGACATTACTTGACTCATACTTTGACATTCTCACTGTTTTTGACTCACCTATTGCCAATACTTACCAATCTTTTGATATTGCTTACTGATTCTTTGCTTTTTGGCTTGCTTATCCTCACCAATGCTTACCAATGCTTTCCAAGATGATTACCCATTACTTACATTCCTTACTCATCAGTTACCAATCACTTACCAAGTGTTTGCACCTTGTTTTCCATAGGCAATGCCCCTGTACTGTATACAAGTCACTCTACTTGGATAGCTGAAAAAAAAAAGAGAAGATGTCAGAGAGCCCCTCTTACTCACATTTTATCATCACTCAGTAAATCCTCCATCAGCTTTGATAGTTGAGACTTTATTAAGGGTCTAACTATTGTCTACTTTGGTTATTATCATCTATCATCAATCTACTTCACTCCAAGTCCACCCTGAGCTCAGTGCAGCTCAGAGCATCAAATTAAGTCATCACCCATCCTTCTGTAGGCTGACAGCAGTCTACCCTATCGCATTCTTTTGCATTCCTGCTCCTTCATCAGGAGCACCCCCAACCCTCAGCACTCATCTTTGAGTGTTATAGCTTGCAAAAACCCTCCCAAAGAACAGGTTTTACCATCTAGGTACTGCATAGGCACACCACCACTCACTCTTTTTGTCTTTTGTGTTGGTTTTGGTTGGTTTTCACCACTGAACCACACTTTGACTCACACCAGTCTCAGTCTCTGGCTTTGGCCACCCCCAGCCTGAGCCACCCTTGGTCTCAGCCTTCAGCTTTGACCCCAGTCTCTAGCTCCAGTTTCCTGTTTCCTTGTTATATGTTTTCTTTGTTTTCTGTTATCTGTTATCTTTTTCTGTAGATACACACTTTCAGACCACATGACCCCTGGAGCAGACCTTGGACCTGTCCCAGCCTTCTTGGCACTTCTTGTGACCCTCTGTACCCCTGCAGTTCACTTCCAGTCCAACCAGTGCATTCCTAGACCAGTTTTCTGGTCTTCCCTGCACCCACCTGGCCTTTGTGTCACTCTGGTGTCACTCAGAAGCACATTGCTACACCCCTGGACCACCTTTTGGTCATCTCCAGACCTCTCTGGACCTCTCAGCTTCCATGTTGCCCTGAGCTTTGAGGCACACTTCCAGTCCTAGTGGCATACCCCTGGTACATTTGTTGGACATTACTGGTCCCCTGTAAACCTTTGGCCTCCAGATTTCCCTGACCCAGCTCTGAAGCACACCCTTAGGCCCTGCCTGCACATTCCCAGAACACTCCTCCATCTTGACCCTTGTTCCTGGACCTGGCTTATGCCATTCTGGTCTGAACTACCAGGCCTCTGGTCATCACTGCCCTGTTTCCTGGCCCTTGGACTCACTGCTAGTCATGCAACTACATTGTGTAACCCTCTGGACATATTTCCCTATGGAACCTCAAGGGTTTGGTTCCATGACTCTTGGACTCAATCCCAGTCCAGTCCCCTATCCCCTAACTCTGGTAAAGTCTGGTCTTAGTCCAGCCTAGAAAACCTAATTCTGGCTTAAAGAGTGCAACTCCAGTCCTAGATAACCCAACTCCAGCCTAAGTAACTCAAGTCCAGTCTTTTACCCCTATCTCTGGTTCACTCCAGCCTCCCAGCCTTGCACTGCTCCACCCCAGTCCTCCCAGGTCCATGTCTGGGTCACCCAGACATAACTCCAGTCTGTTTTCCTTTGTTTGTACCATATTTAGCTTGGTCCATTCATCTGACTTTTGCTTGCTGTACAAACCCTGTGTCTGACTCTGGTTATGCCAGTCACCCAGACTTTGGCTATTACTCTCAGCACAGCCACTGTGGCTGTCCTGACCTTGTAATCATCTCACTAATAGCTTATTCACAAGTCTGGCTTCATGTTCATTACCCTGGACTGGCCTCATGTATTTAACCTGTCAGGTCTGGGCCTACTCTGACCAACTCTGATGCTAGATGAGATTCAGAAGCAAGTCTGATGGAAGGAACTAAACTCTGACTGGCAGAGTGTTGGCAGGAACAAAGTCTGCCAAGATAAAGGCAGAGTGGAGTGAGGGCATCAGGTTTAGCTCATGCACTACCCCCTTGCATGATCTCAGCCCTTGTATTTCAGAGGGAGAGTACAGATGGGCAGTCAGAGGTAACTCCAACAGGCAGAAGACAGAGACAGAGGGAGCAGGAACTAAGTTGATATTCATACTGAAGAACCTTGGAGTACAATACATGCTTTTTGTACTACCATGGAGGTACAGTAACTGGAATCAGAATTGACATATGGAGACTCATAAATTTTCAAGTAAAACTTCCTAGATGACAAATGAAGGGTAGATGGAGGACATACAAACAGGTAACATGGGACATCCAAAAAAGGAACAGTCCAGGTGCTGGACCATGTGCTGCAGAGTACCTGACTGTGTGCTGCCAGGGAGAAGTCTGAAGTGCAGTCACATGACTCCTCAGTGAATGGTCTGTGTGGTCTGATAGGAGAGCAGCACAAGTCTGACAGCAGTCAGAGCAGAGATGACTCATAAATGTCAGGGGGTGGGTGGAGTTGGTGTGGAGTGAGTGAATGACCAGCAGAAAGGGGTGTGGAGTGAGTGAGGACTTAGGATGAATGCATGGTCATGACATAACCCATGTACATACTGTGTAGCACCTCAGTCAGAATATCAACTAAGTATTACCTTCAACTCCTGTACTACACTCCAAGTCTACTCTATAGCTAAGGCCAAGCCTTAAGCTATCCCCAGCCCTGTCCCAGACCTCTCCCAGGCTTGCATAAGGGTACAGCACATCTTGGCCCCTGTCTCCTGGCCTTGACTTTGGTCACCTGGACTTAGCCCCTGTCTCCCAGCCTTGAAGCCCAGTCACCCTGGGTAAACCTGTACTTAACATACTCCCATATCACCCATGGTCTCAAAGCCATCCAACTGTCACTTGCATTACTGGGTTGGACAACAATGAATTAGACTGCCTCCTGAAGGAAGCTGAGGATAACTGTAAGGTTATAGATGGGTTGTCTCAAGCTCACACATGCAAAGTGTACCATATGGTATTCACACAGTAAGACATAGAGACAAAAAGCATATCTCCCTAAAATTTTTGAGACAATATTTATATATGAGGAGGCATGTGATACCTCAGTATCACATGCCCATACTAAGTAATCCCCATTTTCAGGGCATAACCCCTAACACCCTCCCCTGCAAAGCCAACCCAGGCTCGGAAAGTAAAGAAAAAAAAGGAGAAAAGAAAGAGATGGGAAGAAATGGGAAAGGAGACAATTTGCATGAAGGTTAGGCTTCATGAACTATTACTTTGAGGGTTAGGCCTCAAAATCCAAACATAGAGACAGGGTGTTGAACCCAATCCTTTAATCAGAGAGTTGAGTCTCCAGAGGGAACACTCCCTCACATTCATGACCTATCCTCATCCTCAAACAGGTCATCAGTCATCTTGCCCTCCTTGGGCTCAGAATCTTTAGCAGGGGGATTTCCCCTGACAGTGGATGCTCCCCCATGAGGACAGTGGGGAGGGTCATAGATAAATGCTGCAGAGGCAAATGCAGAGACAATCTGCTGATCATCAGCCCATAAGGCCATGTGACCTGGAGGGACCTGGTTGATGGTGCAACCAATGGCTTGAGCCTGGCACTCATACCACTCCCTCGATCTGACATTGCTTGGGGGGCAAGGTTCAGCAAGAGCCTTCTTCAGGGGCTTGATTTTTGCCATGACCTGAGGGTTATTCTCCCCTCCATTTGCAATGATACCATTGACATACTCTCGACCCACTTATTGAGCCCATAGCAGCATGTCATCAGTGTCATATGTGCTGACCCTGTTAGCAGCAAGATACACTGTGATTGAGGCCCTATCAGCTGAGGTGGTGAACTCACCATCCCAGGGATGTGAAGTGCCTTTGACTGGGCTGACTTCTGCCCAGTTGAGGAGGGACCAATATCATCCCCTTACTGCAAGTAGGAAAACCAACTCACACATCCAGACATTTCAAGCCCTATGGCTCCTGGGAACTGGTGCCAGGCACTTGTAGAGGAGAAACCCTTGGACATTGCACAGAGCCAGAGGATTTGTCTCTGTGTCGGAGTCATCTGGCCTGCTTGATGTCCCCAGTACCCCTGGGAGCATGGCCACAAGTGTGGACTCACTGTCTTTGCCCCAGTGATGGTGCCTCTGTTCTTTGTCAATGAACTCCCTCCAAGCTTCAACAGAGCTGTTGAGGGGAGGGGCATTCAATGGTAGCTTGGGGATACCCCTAGACTTCCCAGCAGAGGGCTTGGCCCCTTTTGCCTTGTGAGTGGGCTGTGTCCTTGTGGAGGACTGAGCTTGGGAGCTCAGCCAGGGCCTTAGTTCAGAGACCTGTTGAGTCTCATGTGGTTGAACTGCTACATGGTCAATGAGAGTGGGGGTAGGAGTTGATCCTACATTGGGCACTGGAGTTGAGCCTGAAGGAGCATCTGCTATCCACTTCTGCAGTGCTGGAGTACCTCCAGAGGGGCCAGATGTAGGTGGGGGTATCCCCACAGTGGATGCTTGCCCCTCCTCCCTTGGGGTCAGACAGCCTTCCCCTTTTCTTTGAGAACCTCTCTCCTCTCATGAGGTTTCTTGGAAGACCATGCAGGGGGCTTCCATTAACTCAGTGCAAGGTTGATGACCTTGTTCAACCCCAACTTGCATCTTTTCCACAAGTTGAGGTAAGTTATAAGGTCCTGCACCTTTTGGATGCAGGGAGCCTTACCTTCTGGCTCTTTTAACACTCTCACATAGAACTGGTGGATATCATCCATGGTGTTGAAGAGGGAAATGGGCCCTAGGATGCCTCCTTCAAATTGTATGGCCAAGCCATATGGTCTCTTGCCCACCAGGACCAGTGGGACAATGTGCAACCTGAGGTTGTGCTTCATGCTGTCAATCTTTTCGTGCTAATAGGCATAGAGATTGTCATTGATCCTCATGAAGAGGAGTTTATTCTTACCATCTGAGCCTTTGCCCAGAATAAGCACATGATGGGGCCATTCCATCCCATCAAACTCAGGGAACATTGTTCCCTGTGTGGGTACAGAGGGTGCACCCTCAAAATATGAGAACCAGCAGGTTTCACCTGCACCCTCCCCCTTGAAACAAATGTTGCAGTGGGGAGGGCCATCTGGGATGTCAAGGAACCAGCTCCAGGCTGGTTGAGGATGCAGTGGTCAGGACCACCAAGGGACACACCTTGCATGCATTCAAAATCACATACCTCCTGCTTGACTGATGGAGTTCATCAATCTTGTCCTGTAGGTGACAAATCTCATCAATGTGGTGTGAGTCAAAGTGTGGAAAGCTGGTGAAAACCAAACAAATCCAACACCAAAGACAAATAATGTGTGAGTGGTGGTTTGCCTGCATGGAACCTGGAGTGCAGAAGCAAATCTAATGTGGGGGGGGACTTCAAGTGGAGGTGCTCCTGGCACAAGTCATCAACGAGTTATGCAGGAGTAGGCAAGCAAGCAATGACTGGACAGGGGATGCTGAACAGAGTGAAGGTGTTCAGCCAAAAGGACTTCTGGAATGATGGACTTTGATAAAACATGCTCCTGGTGCAAGTTGATGTTGAGTTACACAGGAGTGGAGGGATGACTAAGCAAGACTGCTGACTAAGAGTGGAGAAAGCTTCAGATAAGGAATGGAGGTAGATAGACCCTTGATGGAGCCTCAACTACCAAGGATGATGGATGGTGACAGATAGACTCCTCTGAATGAGCCTCAACTGTCGATGATGAGTTATGCACTGAGAGAGCTGAACTGACTTCTGGATTGCTTGTGGATTGCTTGTGGATTGTAGCTAAGTACACAGGGGTTTATATACTGTGGGGGGGCACAGCTTGTGACAAACAAGGTACAAACACTTGGCAAGTAATGAGTAAGGACTGAGTAATCATGATGAGTAAGCAAGAAATGAAAAGTAAGCAAGCAAAGAAGATTGGTAAGTATCAGCAATAAACAAGTCAAGGATAGTCAGAATATCATAGAATGAGTCAAATGGAGTCAGAAACTGAGTAAGTGCTGTGAGTCAAAGTGAGGTTTAGTGGTGAAAACCAACCAAAACCAACACAAAAGACAACAAAAGCGAGTGGTGGTGTGCCTATGCGGTACCTAGATGGTAGAACCTGTTCTTTGGGAGGGTTTTTTGTGAGCTACCACACTCAAAGATGAGTGCTGAGGGTTGGGGGTGCTCCTGATGAAGAGGGAGCAAGAATGTGATAGAAAGCGATAGAGTAGACTGCTGTCAGCCTACAGAAGGATGGATGGTGACTTAATTCGATGTCCTAAGCTGTACTGAGCTCAGGGAGGGCTTGGAGCGAAGTATATGGATGATAGATGATGATAAGCGAAGTAGATGATAGCTAGACCCTTAATAAAGTCTCAACTATCGAAGCTGATGAATGATTTACTGAGAGATGATAAATTGCGAGCAAGAGGGGCTCTCTGATGTCTTCTTTTTTTTTTTGCTACCTAAGTACAGTGACTTATATACAGTACAGGGGCATTGCCTATGGAAAACAAGGTGCAAACACTTGGTAAGTGATTGGTAACTGATGAGTAAGGAATGTAAGCGATGGGTAATCGTCTTGGAAAGAATTGGTAAGCATTGGTAAGGATAAGTAAGCCAAAAAGCAAAGAATCAGTAAGCAAAGTCAAAGGATTGGTAAGTATTGGCAATAGGTGAGTCAAAGACAGTCAGAATGTCAAAGTATGAGTCAAGCAATGTCAGGAACTGGGAAAGTGCACTGGAATCGCATTAGGGGGAGGCTGTGCATGTCACATCTTGAAGAGATCACTTCTAGGCCAAGGTGGGATGACAGAGAGGCAGTGCTGACCTGATGCTGATATAGTACATCCAAAAGCAGACAGGGTGAGTCAGATGTCAACAGGGGTCAAGCTTTGGGGGTCTGTGGGGTGACAGGAGCATAGGGGATTGCAACTTTCCCCCCCAAACCATCCTCTCAGTGAAGCAAATAAAAACTTCATGAATGAGGCTCTGTTGGAAGAGAGGATGAAGGGGGAGCATCTTCTGCTGTATCTTGCAACAAGGAGGCAAGATGTGCATCATACTCATCATGGATGTGATCAGGGAGAGTGGAGAACAGCAGATTATACTGTAGCTGTTGCAATTTTGGAAGAATGACGGACGAGACTGGTATAAAGACATTGCAGGGGGCAGGGAGGAAGGATCCATATGCTTCTTGGACTGGAGAGACTGAAACGACCACATAAGACCTTTCCAAGCGAATGACAGACCTGAGGTGACCAAAGAACGTCCTCCTGGAGGTCATACTGACAAAAAGAACATGCTGTCCAAGCTGGATGGGCTGAGAGGGGGCAGATGAGGGTGGGATGTACCAGGACACTTCAGGACAGAAGCTGGTAGGAACTCCTGTTAGATATATGTAGCCATGGTCCCTAGCAAAGGGGACAAGTGAAATGACTGATGTGGAGGCAGCCATATCAGAAGAATTAGCAAAATGAGTGTCTTTTGGAGGGAGTGCTGTAGAAACGTGGAGTGCGCAAATCCTTTCCAATCCTGGAAGGTAGGATCGCATGGCTGAGCACTACAAGCGAGTGTGGGAATGGTTTTGGTGTCTGCAGAATTGGTGGAGATACGTCGAAAACCAGAATGCCATACACGGGCACTTAAGAACTTTATTGGTGCTTAACTTGCCTCCTCCTTTTTCTTTGGCACTGACAACCTGTTCTTGTGCGAGGGATGACTGCCGACATTTCTGGCTGTCCTTCTTCACATGAGGGCTATGGTCTTCACCTCCATTCATCAGCTACATCCATGTCCACCTCACCAAACACCTTTGGTGTGTGACAGTGCACTGATATCACATCAGGGGGTGGTGATGCAAGTCAGATCTCAGCAGAGACATCTCTAGATCCAAAGATGGCATGACAGATGGACAGTGTTTCCAGATAGGGAAGTATTAATTCCAGAATTGAAGGGCATGAGTCAGGCATCAAAGGGGCTAGGGTGTTTGGGGGTCCATGGGGCAATGGGAGCATAAGCAATCATGTCTCCCACCCTTTCATCCTCTCAGTGAAGTTAACAAAAGCTTCATGAATGGGGCTCTGAAAGAGGAGGAGGAGAAGGGGGGACATCTTCTGCTGGATCTTGCAGTAAGAAGGCAAGATGCACATCATACTCATCATGAATGCAATCAGGGAGGCTGGAGAACAGTAGACTATGCTGCAGCTGTTGCAATGTGGGAAGAATGATGGATGAGATTGGAATAAAGATGGTGCAGGGAGCAGGGAGGAATGATCCATATGCTTCATCAAATGGGGAGACCAAAACAACTACATAAGACCTTTCTAACTGAGTGACAGACCTGAGGCAACCAAAGAATGTCCTTCTGGAAGTCATACTGACAAGGAGAACACACTAACCAAGCTGCAAGACAGGGCTGACAATGATGGGATGAACCAGGGGGCTTCAGGACAGAAGCTGGTGGGAATGCCTGGCAGATATACATAGCCACTGTCTTTGGCAAATGAGACAAGCAAGATGATCAACAAAGAGGCAGCCACGATTGATGGACTTAGCGAAATGAGCATCTGATGAATGGAGTGCTGTAGAAATGTGTAGGGTGCAAGGATCCTCTCCAAATTTGGAAGGCAGAACTTTGTGGCTGAGCACTTTAAGCAAGTGTGAGAACAGAGTTGATATCTTTGGAAATGGTGGAGATATGATGATAACTGAAATGCTGTACAAGGGTGCTAAAAACCTTTATCATGCACTTAACTTGTTTCCTCTTTTCTCTTTAGCACTGATGACTTGTTCTTGTACAAAGGATGACTGCTCATGTCCAGCAGTCTTTCTACACATGAGGCCTTAGTCCTCATCTGCATGGCATGGGCATTGCATCCAACTTGTCGATGAGTTAGGCAGAGTCAGCTGTAACCATGTCCACAACACCTTTGGTGTGTGACAGCAGTCATTGAGGTCATCCTCAAGGTATGCAATGCAATGATGCATGTTGTCATATGGAGAATGGCAGACAATGCATGCAGCTTCATCTCCAAGGTTGAATATTGCAGGAGTGAGGCCTGCTTTGGAGAGGGCCATGGTTGTCATTTGGCTCATACTTGCACAGAAGCCCAACATAAAATATTGGGTGTATGCATCTTGCTCTTAGTTGCTCTGGTAGCTTGAGCATATATGTATCGCTCATGCTATCACAGCGCAGAACCTTCATCAGCCTGATGAATCTTGGTATGAGCTTACAAGCTTGTCCTTTGGGCATGGCCAGGTTCTTCATGGAAAGATACACCAAGTCTCCAATTTGAAGGTGAATTCCTTCCTTTCATTTCTTGTTGGTGTGGTATGTCTGCACCACCCTACTCTCAATTATGGCATCATGCACCATTTCTAGATTTTCTAGCACCTGTTGGGTGAACATCCTTACCCCTGGGGATGATGTCGTCATCCCTTTCTCAATGTGTTGCATCATTAAGGGCATATGTCTGTAGTTCAGTTTGAATGGGGCGAACCCCATAGAGCTGTTGATGCTCAAGTTTATTGCAAACTTGACCATTGGCAGCTTTGACACCCAGTCCCTCTGGTCCAGATGAACCATTGACCATAGCATCTGTGCTACATTGCATATGGCTTGTTCAGATGCACTGTCTGTCTGCAGGTGAAATGCAGTTGACATTAGGAGCTTTTCTCCTAGCATTCTGTGCATCTCACACCAGAATGTTGACATAAATTTTGTGTCTCTGTCTGAGACAATTGTCTCTGGTAGCCTGTGCAAGTGGGCTACTTCTTTTATGAATATCCATGTGAGTTCCAAAGCTCGCACCATCATTTTCACTGGTATCAGGTGTATCATGGATGTCAGATGGCATAGGAATACCCACAGGTAGTCATACCCTTCACTCAGTGGGAATGGTCCCACAAAGCCCATTGCTATCAACCCCTGTGGTTGTCTCAGCACAGGTAGACTGTGCAGTAGTCCTGGAGGCCACTGATTGTTGGCCTTTGTTGCCTGACATACAGGGCAGGTTCTGCAGAACCTGTCCACCTCTCAACTGAGTTTTGGCCACCAGTACCACCTGCTAGTCTGCTGTTCTCTGGGATCTGAAATGTCCCAGTGTCCTGTGTGCTGGTCTACAACCCATGCAATTATGTTGTCAATTTTGTACTTTGTGTGTGGAAGGCACAACACTTCCTCTCCACCATGATTTTTCATGTAAAGTAGACCATCTCTCTCCTCAAATTGAGGGTGATGTGACAGTTGTGCTAGTATCTTCACAAGTGTAGGCTCATTCTTGTATCCCTTATGGATGGTGTCCAGAAGTTCTGGAACATCTCCATAGGTTATTTGCAAGGTTTGTGAGGCCTCAGCAGATTCAAATATCGATGGATCCTCCTCTGCAATTGTGAGAGGGGTTTCCTTGTTGTTCCTTTCTGCAGCTGAGGCCATTTCCTGAGCCTCCAGGATGCAGTTCTCCTGTTTCTCCTTTGGCCAGTTACTCTTGTGAAGAGTTCATTCCTGCTCTTCCATCACTGATAGTCTCAGCTCTTTCCATCTGTCCTGAGGGAGATCATCTCCCTCTGGGTCCAGGTGTATGTCCACATTTGCCCACTTGACATTCTTGTTGGAGATGTTGTCTCCTCCTTCCTCCTTGTAGTAATGGTATAGGCAATCCACCACTTGGTTCTCTGAGCCTTTGGCATATTATGTTTGCATCAAAGCATGACATATAATCTATCCACTGGACCTGTCAGCTTGACAGGTTTCACTGAGTTTTGAGGTATCCCAGGGCCTCATGGTCTGTCACTATTGTGAACTTAAACCCAAGGAGTTTATCCTCCCATTTCAGTAAAGCTTTGATTATCACAAGTGTCTCTTGCTCATAGGTCCTATAGTTTTGTTGAGCATTGCTCAGCTTTTTTTGACATGAAGCCTGCTGGTTGGCAGGTCTTCCATTCAGGTCCTTGCCCATACAGTGCACCTACTCCATAGAGTGATGCATTGCAGACAAGCCATATTGGCTCTTCCTTCCTTGGATCTATTGGCTGCAGTACTGGGTACTTACAAGCCTGGTCCTTAATCATATGGAAGCATCAGCCATGGATTTCCCTCCACAGGAACAGGTGTCCATTCCTTTGTATCCCAGTTAGCAGCATTGTGTATGCCGAAATATCTAGCATAAACTGTGCCAGGTATTCTATGAGACCAACAAACCGTTGAACCTCATTGAGCAACTTAGTAGTTTTCTATGTAAGCTGAGTCACCAAGCATGACATAGAATAAAGTTAGTGCATAGATAATGGAGAAGTTTCCCCATGTGGTCAGGAAATTGTGTGCATTGACATGGGAGTTTATTGATGGGTTTGGTGCAGCTGGATTAGTCTTGAGCAGGAAAGAAAAGTTTTGGATTAGCCTAAATTTGCCCAGGCAGCTGGGTTTGGGAATTATAGACAGGGGTGAGGATTGGAATGCACCTAATAAGGATTTGATGGCTTCTAATGAGTATGGACCTAAATAGCGATTTTTGGTGATTTCCTTATGGACAATCTCATTAAACTCGCTTTTGTAGACAGAAATGGATTCTCTGTTTGGTGGGGACTGGGTATGTTTGATGGCAGGAAAATCTACAATGAAGCCCCAGTGAAGGCCCTCTGGGATTCTACTAAAGTGATTGATTAAATTAAACTTTCGGAGCTCTCACATCCAGACTTTGGCTTTATAAAGAGTTGTTGGCTGAGATTGCTTGAGTGCAAGGGCACTTCTGAGCTCCATGGGTTGTTGCTCCGTAGCCTGAGCAGAAGTGCTTGGCATTGTGATGCTCTGCACAGCCTTCTTCCCACAGCCACTTCATGCAGATGCATCATCCATCCTTGGTGAAAAGTGCTTTGTAGACTCTTTCAGCATATGCCTCATGCTTCCTGTCCCAGGTGTGTGTGGCTCTACACTTGATGATGAGATGATGGTGGTGGCCAAGGTAGACTGCGCAGGCTGGGAGGGGTTGAGTGTCTGAGAAATTGTTGTTGCAAAAAGACCTCTGCTTTTTGTGGTCTGAGTGGTCATGTGTGGTGCTGTGGTGGGAAGGGGAGAGGGGGTGCTTGTGTCTACTGGGGGCTCTGTGGCAGTTCTCTGGGTGGGAGGGTTGGTCTGCGATGGCTGAGAAATGCTCATTGACCTGGTGTGTGCATAGGCATGCAGAAAAAGGTGGGGGTAAGTGTGGGTTGATGGGCATTGTGCCAGGTGTTCATGTAGAGATGCAGAGGGGGGGGGGGATGATCAATGGATGTGGTGCTGGAGTGATGTGATCAGTGGGCATGATGCCAGTGTAGTGTGATCAGTGGACATGATGCTGGAGGGTGGTGTGATCAATGGATGTGATGCCAGCTTGGTAGAGGGGGGGTTAGTTAGTGGGGTATGTCCAGCATTAGTAGGGCATGTAGGGGGGGAGAATGTGGGTTGGCATGCATTGCATGTTGGGGAAAATTCATTAGTCTGAGGGATGTCTGCTGGTTTGGCATTGTGTGCACCTTGTGGAGATTCTCCAATTGCTTCATCCTCTCATTGTTGAGGACCTCTTCTTTCACAATGCTGAGGAGTTCCTCATTCAACTCTGCCAGGGACCACCTGTATGATCCTAGCTTAGATCAGTGCCAGCATTGGTGTCATTGGTGTTGTTGGCTTTAGTAGAGTAGCAGGGGAGCAGCACCATGGGTGGCTCTCAAGCACCAGCCAGAAATCTACATCCATTTTGACACTTTCTTCTGGCCAGTCATGGTCTTTCATGGCTTTGGCCATGTGAATTGCTGCTTCCCCAAATTGCTCCCAGGTGAGGTCTCTGTCCTTGATGATCGATGCCTTGTCCCTCATTGATGAGGCTGGGACCCAGAGGTGCTGTCCATTGTTGGTTTTCAGGAGGGTTAGAGCTTTGTCATTGATGGAAGAGTTGAAAGATTTGGCTTCAGCTATGCCCACATTTGTGAAGAAATACAGTACTCTCCTTTGAGGAGTTTTCACAAAGCATAAGGGGTGGGGATGTTCACTGGCCCAGTTGGGGCTTTGACATTGCGAATTGGGGTGAACTTGGCTTTGTACTTCTTGCACTCTTCAAGACAGGCAGCTTCTTCTTCCTTGTGGGCACACTGTAACTGCTCTGTGTGTTCTTCTGCAGCTTGCTCTTCTATTTCTTGAGCTTGCCAGGCTTCTTCTGCCTTGTGTGCAGCCCATTGCACCTTCTCTCTGTTGTTGTTAATCTCCCAAATGGATTCCAAGATTCGAGCTGCCTGTTCATTGTCTACAGTATTGCTGACTAACTGCCAACGTGCCTTGTTGTACTCTTTGGTGGAGAAATCTGGCCAAATAGCTTGATTGGGATCTTCCATCCCAGGCACTGTGGGCTGAAAAAAAGGAGCAGAGAGTACTGAATGGAGGGCTGAATGCACAAGTTCTGCCCATGATGAAGTGTGCTGAAGCAAGACACATGGCTCACTTTGCTTACTCATACATGGATAGCACATCTTCCCCCAGGATCAGAGATTGCAATGCATGATGTAGCTGAAGCATACCACATGATCCCCCTCCACCCATTGCAATGGCCAGTGAGCATATTACAAATATCAGACACACACAGGTGCATTGACACCTGCATTGCCTTTGGAGCCACCCCTTCAGCAGGCATCTATGGATACTTAGCAGATGTGGCCATGGAAATCTCATGGCATCATGGCATCAGCCCTTTGGACAAATGGGTAGACAACCACTGCTTCATCTGTATCAGGAGAGAACACCTAACCCAATACAACAAGCTGAGAGGGGTGTGGAGCGCAGAAATTGCGGCAGTGCAAACCAACCCCCAACATGCCAGGGCCCACATCTGGTACCAAGGAAAGACAAACAATGATGACATACCAGAAGAATTCAACAAAGACTGTTCATGGAACCTCCATGATCTCTCACACACCTCACCCAGATCAATCCATGATGCACTGTTCACCTACAGCTTCCAGGACAAAGATACACTGTCAAACTCACTCAGCATCCCCTGGGAATGATCCAAAGACCAACCTTTCAGCAGTGCTGCCACCTACATTGGCTTCCAATGGGATCTAGAGAACTACACAGTTGCCCTCAGCCTGAACAAAATGATCAAATACCTCGAAGTGATCCACAAATGGAGGAAATACCCAGCACATGTACTACAAGATGTAAAAGAGCTCTACAGAAAATTACTTCATGCAAGCATGGCTCTACCTCATTGCAGAGCATACCTAACCAGTCTAGAAGCAATGCTCAAAACAGGTGCACTAAAACCACTACTCCCCCATCAAGCAGACAAAAGGGTCACAAACAATTTAGACTGGTGGACTGACAAGCTACAAGCCAATGAAGTCTGTCACCCCATATGTCCCCCCAGCCAATACACAGACATCAGCACATTCTCAGATGCTAGCTCTGGTGTTGGCATTGGCATCCTGGTGATTCTACTGATAGCTAGTCCTTGCTCAAAGAAAATGAAAACAGCTAACAAAAAGTCCCAAACTGTCCAGAAAAATAATAAAAACAAATATATAGCTAAAACAATGTCCCTCCAATCTCTCTTACTAGTCTCACTGATGCCATCCTCAGCCACCATATACCATGGACACTTGCAACCACCCTGTGCATTTCCTCTTCAAATGCATGGTCAGTGTGCACCCCTTGATCCATTTTTCTTTCAGTTCTTCTTCTGTATCCTTACATTTCATACCCAAAGACTGTCCCAGTTACCTGATAATACAGCCCATTGTTTTCACTTCAGGAAACCACATCCCACCATCCACACCATACTATGAGGACTCACCACTGAGAGAAGTCAAAAGTTGCATGAAGAAGACAAGTTGGGCAGTACCCCATGCACTCTATGATACTGTGGGTGATGCAAGGCTAGCCCCTTGCAAAGTGGAAACAGGTCCTTTGCAGTGCCTTATGTCGCAACTACACAAGATGGGAAGAGAATTACAGCTGTTTGCAAAACAATGTGGAAAATCTGTTTGACAATCAGACTGTTTGGATATAGCCAGGATAGGACCCCAGAAGTACCTTAGTGGGTAGCTACTGCCTGTTACCATAGTACACTAAGAATTGAACATACTGAACATTGCCTGCATACCCTCTCACATGGTATCCATCAACCTCAAGTCTCATATTCCTGTCCTTCACCAAAATGGCTACAGCATCAAGCAAATCTGTAGTATTCTAGGCATCAAGAAAACACTTGTTTACTGAACTCTCAGACTTCACACCAAGTATGGTGTCATGTACAACCCAAACACTTATTCCCATACCATTGGTCATCATTGCATTCTCAGCCTTGAAGACATTGCATTTATCCTTGCCATTGTTCAACATCGCAGCACAATCTACCTAGACAAGCTTCGAGAGGAGCTCTGGCTCAAGCATCAAGTTTGTATCACTCCATCTACACTTTCTTGAACTCTTCAGGGCCTCTACATCACTCAGAAGGTCATCTCTGCATCTGCCTCTGAGAGGAACAAGGAGTTGCACACACTCTACATGAATTGCATTGCAGCAGAAGTGCCAGACCCAAATATGCTCATCTTCATTGACAAAGCTTCCAAGGACAAGCATACCTCCACTCACCCACATGGGTGAATGGTCAGAGGTCTATGTTGCCAAGTCAGGAGGTACTTCATACATGGAATGTGCTACTCTATTCTCCCTGCCATCATGCTTGATGGCATCATCACATACAATATCATCAAGGGCACTGTTGATGGAGAGCATTTTCTGTGATTTTTGAAGGAGCATGTCATAAGTGAATTGTCTTCAAGCCTGTACATGCTAATTTATCCAACAGATGCCTTTCACCAACCCATATCCTGGCCTCCACAGCATTATTATTATGGACAACTGCCACATTCACCATGGTGAAGAAATTCACAAGTTAGTTGAAGATATGCATTGTACATCACTATCAATCAATTGATGTTTCTTTCACTGATGTCTCACAGTTTGCAAGTTGATCTATCTCCTGCCATACTCACCAGACTACAACCCCATCAAGCAAGCATTTTCTATGATCAAGGCATACTTGTGTCACCACTCAGACAACCTATCAATGATGGTGATTGTTCACACATGTCAAAGTATTATGCCTGAAAAGGCTGAGGGTTATTTCTGCATGTCTGGGTACATAGTGTAGTGACTGTATTACTGTGTCTAAGTAGATTCCCCCCTTCAATTCCCAGTTGATTTTGTGTGTGGGTTCAATGTAATCTGAATGTGAAAAATGGCCTCTAGGCCAACATTGCAATTGATACAATACCTATGTATATGACATAGGCATTACATGAAGCAAGGTATGTAGGCATTATGTAGAAAAAATGTTGTCCTCTGATTCCTCCCCAGTCTCATTGACAATGAAACCCCAGGGCACAGGTAACCACTGATCTTGACTCTTGCAGTCATAATAAAGGTCATAGTCAAGCAGGGCTGGCTTGCTACCATCATCATCTTTGTTGATTGTCATTGGAGATGCTGTGAAATGACACCCACCACCATCCTTGAATTGCTTCTCATATGCGATCTTCTTCGATGGCCTGGTGGGTGGGGATGAGGCTTGGCCCACTTGCTCATTGCTTGATGATTCCCCAGTGTTGCTATGCTTCCTCTTCGCATCAGGACCATTCCACCAAAGTAAACTTCCCTTCTTGAGATGAATGATGTCACCAGTGGCAATACCAGCCTAGTGAGTGTCTGGTCATTGATATCCATGAGGATGTCAGGCCCAATCAACTGGAGTTCAAGTTCCCATTCATAGAGGGTGGCATTGCAAACACTGAGGTTCATTTCAGCATAGCGAAGAAAGCAGGAGAGATGAGATGGAGATGGGCTGGGTGGTGAAATGGGAGGATCTGGTGGCATGTGTGTGGGTGTCACAGGAGGTGGAACTGGAGAACTGTGGGCTCTAGATACACTGGGTGACAGGAGGCCAGAGTTTGCAAGCATCTGAAGAAGGAGAACACCAGTAATAGAGTTGATGTCAATATTTTGCAACACCTGGGCTTGCACTTTGTGGGCTGGATGCAAAAACAGCACTTTGTTGCTCCAATTGAAGGACTCAAGGTTTGGGGGAACCAACAACATAGCTTGCCCTTCATCCTACAGATGGTTTAGGGATAGAATGTTCATGAGTAGCAAAGGACTTACCAATGCACAGCACCAGTCCAGTACCATGGCAGGTGAAAGGGGGATTGGCACCACTGGCCTGACATAAGTCATTCCCTTGTTGTTCTCATTCTTGTACCAGCTGAGGAGTTTCATGTGCCACTGGGCAAGGTGCATATCAAGGTCTGAATGTTTCTGCTTTCCACTATCCTCACCAGATGAATTGCTCTCATCTCCAGAGCCATCAATAGTTGGAAGTTTCTCCACATGTTTCATATCAATGTAGATCTTTGTTGGGCCAGGGTGAACACTATGAATCCTCTTGACCATATCCTTGTAGTCAACTTCATTATTGACATTGATCACATTACTGATGGCTTGGCTAAGGTAAAGCATGGTTAGCACAGATTTACAGAGTGAGAAATGACTTACCTCCATGCTTTGGGCAGTACAAACTGGAAGGGAAAATGTTTACTGCTTGAGACCCTATATTGTCCTTGACCATGCTTGTCCAGTACATGTTGTAGAAAATCAAGGTAGTTAGTATTGTTGACAGCAAAAGTAAGCTCTTTTGTCTTCATGGTCGCTTTTGGCATGGTCTTTCCCTTCTCCTTTTTCTTGGGTCCATAGACAGAAAGCAAGATCATGAAAGAATGTAATTTTTCTGTGTTGGGAGTGGGCGATTGCAATGGCAATGACATGTTGAAAAACAAGTCTGCCATAGGGACAAAGTCTAAGTACATGCTTACAGTACACAATGTTACCATAGAGGTGGTTTCAGGGTCCTATCCTGGTTATATCTGAACAGACTAATTGTCAAACAGATTTTCTGCATCATTTTGCAAACAGCTGTAATATATTCCCACATGTCATGTGCAGGGCAAAGGAGACACAGCAATCAATGTGAGGACAAGTGTATGTAATGTCTCACTACCTACTCCACCCCCAGCTTGGCCAAGGCCTCTGCCAGCTGCTCAATGCAGACATGCAGACAAAGGTTGGCTGTGTGTGCAGCCATGGCCTTGGCCCTTACCAACCCAAGAGCCTGCAAAAGACCCATGGCAGTCTTCTTGTCCACCCTGCCATGCATGGGTGCCTGTCCCTTGCCATGCCCATGGGTCTTGACCACCTCCATAATATTGTTGTCATCATCATGGGTGTGCTTGGAAGGGCCAGCCTTGGGTGCCTTGGTCGATCATGCTGCACCTTGTTAACCTTGGACATGTTGGAATGGGTTCACCACTCACTTACTGATGTGCCAGCCTGTGCCCTTTTGCCTGCCCCCTTTCTGGACTTCTTGCAGCCCTGCTTCATCCTTGCACACCCACTACACATCTTGCTGCTTGGCCTGACACATGGTGTTCCCTTGACAGTGCACTGCATGCAGTACTGACCTGGGGGGGATGGATACCTTGGGCCTCTCATCTTTGTTGCTCTCAGCAACAGTCTGTCAAGATCACTGTCTAGCCATGATGCCAATAAGACTACCCCACACACCTGCAGATACTTACCTTGTGAGCAGGCTGTGGGACCTCCACATGGGACATCTTAACCACCCCACCTTCATCACTGAGCTCCACTGCAGTCTCCTCCCCCATCTGTATGTCCTGCTTGGCCCTCACATGTGCTTTGGCTTCCTCCATGGTCCATTGTTCATAGAGGTCATCAGCCTCAGCAAGCATGGAAGCATCTTCTGTGTTAACCCATATGGAGACCCCAAGCACCTTCCCTTGCTCAACCAAGGGCATCAGTACCACCTGCAGTACACTTGTCAATGCCATGCAACAATGTCACCAAACAAACCACTTACTGTCTTCTCCTCCCAGTGCCTTAGCCAAGTTATCTTCTCCTCCTGCATATCCTCCTGGTCATCTGGCACATACTTTGCCTCTGCCACAAGTCCTGCCAATGCAACTGCAATCTGCTCTCTCAAGGAAGCCCTCTCTGCTTCCACAGGGTCTGGAGTTGATGTGTGAATGAATTGGGACAGTCAAGGGGCACAGTTGGCAGACATGGTACAAGTCAGAGAGATGATTAATGGGGGGGAAGAGTCAAAATGATGCAAAGGTTTGAGCTGCACTGTAAGGAATCCACATTCCTTGGATGCATAAACCCCTATCATCAACCATTCCATGACTATCATTACATTCCTGGACCTCTTGCATCAAGGTCACTATGAGTTTCTTTTTCACTTTGTCTACACTGCACACCTCACAACAACTGTGCATGAACTATGTACACTGCTTGCACCACTTGCATCACCAGTACTACTCCATGGACCACACAACACATGTCACAAATCACTACCACTACAAAGCACTGAGTCCCACCTTCTAGTTTTGACAGTCCAGGATCCCTTGGGACAAGCAATTTGTTCCCTTCATTTTATTTTTGTTACCTAAGCCATCTAGCTCATATTATACAGCTACCTGGACTTTTTCTGCAGTGCACTAACAATTATATACTTAGTGACCATGAGGTGCTTATGTCATCAGTCCAGACACCTATACATGGCATTCAATGGTCTTCTCATGTTCCTTGGCACCACACTTCCTTCACTTCTACATGGAATTTGCTGATGTTCTCAAATCCTTGGCACCACACCTTCGACATCACCACACAGCAAAGCTGTTTATGTCCTCTGCAACACATGGCTGTCCAGGGATGGTTACTTGACCTAGATAAATGCCCAATGGTCCCCCCCCATTCCAAGAAATAAAAGAACCTGTTTCTCCCCTTCAAACAAATCGTCCACTTTCACTGCTTGTCCTAGGACAGTTCCCCCATTATGTGTGTTTCTCCCAAGCATTCCTCTCTGCATTCCTCTCTCAGGCATGCCTCTCCACATTCCTTTCCCAGTTCTAGCACTGCAGAAGCCAGCTCCCCTGTCAGGGACATTTTTGTGTAACAGGTAACATGCATAACAGCACTCTTGGAAGATGATGTCATGACCATGTCCAGACTACCCTATACCAGCTCTACCCTGGTCTCAACTGGTCTTGTCCAACCTTTTTCCCTGGACCTGGTCTTAACCCTTCAACCTAGAAATGTGTTAGTTTGTGAGGCACTGCAAGGCAGTGCCCAGTCAAGTTGTCTGCTCAGCTGGTACCAGGCCAGTGTAATACCTGGCCCAGCCACTAGTCCTGCCCCAGTTCCCAGTAAATCCTTTGTTCATAGTTTTGCTTGATAAGACTCTTTGTAACATTCTACTCACCAATCCATTTACCAATCATTGCTGTACCAGTGCTACATTACACTTGCTTTACCTTTAGTATTTAAGCCATAGGATAAACTGTTTAGCCTCAGTCTGAAATCAACCTAGTCTCATCTTAACCTGGGCTCCTCTTTTTCCTGCCTCTTGACTGGACTGTTGCCCACACAAGGGAATAGTGCTGCTACTTCAGTCACTAAGTCCAATAGTCCAATCCTCTAGTACCTTGTCTATCCCCTGACCCCTGACCAGACTCTGGACTGGCTTTGGACCAGTGATGAACTGGACTTAACAGTATTTCAGACTCACACTTGTGTGGGTCACTACCCTTCTGTCCAAACCTCAGTAATACCTTCTCAGCATGCCTACTCAAACTAGAACCCAAGCAGCATGGGTATGTGCTACTACCAATTCAAAATCTGCCTCAGCTGTTGACTTGCACTGTGCCACTGCCCTGGTGTCCTTGGGGACAGCAAGAAGGTTGCCCAGTGAAGTCAATAACTTCAGGGGCTTTTCAGCCTGCAAATCCACTACACCCATCCCTAATTGACCTCCCACACCTACTAATGATCTGGATGATGAACCAGACCCAGATGAACCACATGACCTCAATCCCAGTGGTGATGACCCTGGTGATGATGGTCCTGGTGATGATGGGCCAGGAGATGACCCAGATAATGATGAAGAAGATCCCCTCCCAGAAGATGATGTCAAGCCTGATGTAACCATGCTTGACAACCTCACCAAAGCTATAGAACTCCTCACATGTAATGCTTGCACTGGCTCTGAATCATCCTCCAGAACCAAGTTGCACAAACCAGACACCTTCAATGGGACAGACCCAAAGAAGCTGTGTGCATTTCTTATCCAATGTGAACTCAACTCTGGGACCAGCCCTAGGCCTTTTGAAATGATCAAGCCAAGGTCACTTTGATGCAGTCATTCCTGAAAGGGATGGCTCTTGAGTGGTTCAAACTGGACCTACTTGGGACTGAAGACCTGGAGGACCAGCTCTACTGGATGGATTCTTGGAAGGAGTTCATCATAGAACTCCAGACTACCTTTGGACCTCATGACCTGGTGGCTGACACTGAAAGCCAGTTAGAGTACCTTCAGATGAAAGACAATCACTGGGTCAACAAGTATGTGGTCAAGTTCAACTGGCTTGCCTCACAAGTTTGGGGATATGGTGATGGCACCCTGCACCACATCTTTTACACCAGTCTCCCTGACCACATCAAAGATGAGGTCTGCCAGGTTGGAAAACCCAGAACCTTGCATGAACTTCATTGCTTAGCTCAGGAGATTGACACACGATACTGGAAGACTGGCAGTAATTCCAGAAATGGCAACTCCAGTAGCCAGTCCTTGTCTAAACCCACCTCAACCAGTCAGTCCAGCTCTAGCTCATCCAAGCCAGACATGAACAAACTGGGCAAGGACAGCAAGTTGACACTGGAGGAGTGCAAGTGTTGTAGGGACAATAACCTCTGCATGTTTTGTGAGGGCACTGGACATTTCACAGATAAGTGTCCCAAGAAAGCTGGGAAAGCCAAAGCTCATGTGGCAGCCACCTCTGAGGCAACACTGGCCTCAACCTCAGGCTCTGCCCCCAAGGCAAAAAAATAAGTAGCAGCTCTCAGGACTCTGCACAGACTGAGAGCCATGTTGACTCCAGCTGTGCACCCACAGAGGCTCACCTCAATGCATCTGCTCTTTCCAATCCCAACTCATATACCCTAAACTCTACCTTTTTGTTCCCCAAGGATATTCTGTTCATTTTACAGGCTGGTGAGTTCAAGGCTTGCTTGTTTCCTCAGTTCCTGATCCCTGATTACTCCCATGTATGGATGCTAATTAAGTCTTCCCACCCTTCCTAGTGTTGTCTCCACTTCCATCATGGTGAGCCATGAACAAGTAAGTGTTTAGCCTTTGCATCTATTTCTATTCTGTTAGTTATATTCTTTACCTGGGGTGTACAATGATCCATTTAATGAGAGTGCAATTACAACATTCCTACAGACTGTGCATGCAGGATTCACCAAGGCAGATCCTACATGTTATTCCATGGCTGCTAACAAATGGGGAAGAAGAACCTTCTGTTGGAGATCTGCCTATCAACTTACAGCATTGTTTGTGCTTCTCTCCCTCTCCCTTCCATTCCTCATCTCATTATGTGCCAGCCACCCTCACTCGATAATGGGCAAAGCATAAGTGCCATCAACCTAAGTGTGTGATTTTCTAACCACTGTCTGATAGCTAACATTCAAGGGTTATGTGGGTGCTCTAATTACAATTGTTTTGCATCTCAAACTGAATGCAGTTGATGCTGCAACCCTTGCTGACATCTTACTTTTGAGATCCCAGTGTGAAGGTGGGAAATTTTCCAAGACTTTTTTTCCTTGACTGTAATCATCTCCCATAGCACCATCATTTCCATTGAGTTCAGCTCCCTCAACATTGTCATCCTGTCAGGAGGGTACCACTGCAATCCCTTTCCTCCCCTTTTCCCCCATCAGTGTGGAGGTCCCCACTCCCCCTGTATCAATACATCTAATGTCTGCCAACACCCCTGACTCCACCACTGTTCTCATCTGTGGACATCCAGACATGGAACCAAGGGATCTGTCCCTGGTGGACAAGTGTTGGCAGACTTCGACCAGAGTATTTTTCACAGTGACCCTGTAAACATACATGTTTTGTATAAAGCTTTGCTTTTTATATTTTATATTTATTTTTGCTCAAGTGTAACCAATAACCTGACTACTAATGGATTTTCCACCTGGTGCAGGTAAGTGGAGATATTGCAAATACAAAGGTTTCAAGATCAGGATCTTTTCATCATGTACATGTTATTACTGTCCTGCATCCATTCTTGCCCCAGCTGTTTGGCACAGTTGTCCACAAGAGTTGAGGGCTTGGCACCCTTGGGAGTTTGGAGCCTTTGAAGGTTCTTGTCAATTGCATCTACAAGGCCTTCAGGAACAGAGTCATGGCATCGTTCAAGCCTTTCTGTTCACTGTCATTGCATGTGTATCATATTACTAAGTGGTATGTATTCCCTCTGTCTTGGTTATTGCATCTTCCTTAATGTTCTCTTGCTGTCCCAGCATTTACTGATGTTTCATTGTCAATCACACACATGAAACCCATGCAAACAGAGCTCATCTTCTGAGGCTCTCAATTTACCATCATTGCACACATATCCCATTACCAAGTGGTACATATTCCCTCCATTTTGGGAATTCAGTGCTTCGAGTCTCTGCTTATTAGCAATGTATTTCCTCCATTTTCATTATTACATGTTCCATTCAGCTCCTTCCCCTGTCTTGGCATTCACCATGGTTCATTCTTGGGGGTTTTGGCCCTTCAAGGGTTTGTTGTGCAGGTTCATTTTCAATTGCATGCACAAGGCCTGCATGAACAGAGTCTGAATTGTTCAAGTCCCCACTCACTACTGTTGCATGCATGTGTTATTACAAAGTGGTACATACTCTCTGTATTGGTTGTTGCATATTCCTTATGGTTTGTTCCACCTGGTATTTATCACAATACAGCATGACACTGACCTTCTTTTCTCATATTTTCCTTTTATTCCATTCACTACTCATGTAATAACTGCAACCATCATTATTCCATTACAACAAGCCACCATTTTACTGAATAACTCCATGGGTTTTTTTATGTCAGGTAAGGCATGGCTTTACTTAAATACCTCATCTGACTGCTTTTCCCCTCCTCCTCCATCTTTATTGACATGCCTTGCATGCCAAAAAGTGTTGACCAAGTTGCAGATGACTCTACAGATTTGTACACCCAGGTTCTTCAAAACTGCAAAATCCCCACCACCAAGATGGCCCCTCCACCAGAGGTAAGTTATCTTGTCACTGTCAATCCCATCTGACCCCCTGCCTTCACAAATAAAATAAGACAAGCCCAGGCCCTGGCACATGGTGCAACTGCCTGAAGGATGGAAAGAACTTATGTTTTGTCTCCATGACAGGAGGAGATCACTCACACCTAGTGTCTCTGTGTCCTCCCAAAATTCTACTGCCCCAATCTTGCAGGAAGACCAGGTCAAGGGCACTCCAATGGACAAGGATGCTGGTGAGGCTGAGGCTGAGGAGGTTGAGGTCAATGTTCTGGCTGATGAGGGCAGTCAATGTCCTGATGATGGGGCTAGTCAACTTCCAGATGATAAAGGTTCATTTTTTTTGAATATTTTTCTCATTCTCTCACAGTTCTGTAGATGTTGTGTTGTTATATCCTTGACTCTTGGGTTTGGTGCCCCCCATCCCTTCTCTCATATGACTGTGGGTTCAGTGCCCAATGGTCTAAAGCTAGGTGCTTTGGATCCTCATGAGAGTTGCCAAGTGTCCTGTGTCATTTTCACTTTTTTTCTAGACACTTTGTTATCCTTTGATGTGTTTCATGTTGCACTGCAATCCATTCTCTTCCAATATTGACATGTTCATAGTAGATGAGGATGGTTCTGAATCATTGCTTCCTCCATCATTGCCACCAGCTGAAGACTCCAGTTCTGACACTGAGGATGAGTTTCCCTCATGTCATCCTGGTCACCATGTGGAACACAAACCTAAAAGCAAGGGCAAAAGTAGGGCTATGGATGTTGACAACAGTGATATAGCAAGTCAGGATGATCATGAACACACCTAGAATGCGAAATTTAAGAAGACTGGGAACTTGTCCCATGCTGCTCTCAATGAGATACATGACTTTGTGACCAAAGTCAAGGCAAAAGCAGATGAACTTGGACATCAACATGGCAAGTCTCCTTGTGACATCCTTGTCACTGCTGGGCTCAGTGTCAAACCATCTCACACAAAGCTCAACAAGGCCAATCTCTTCCACTCATGGTATTGGGCCACCCAACCAAAACCTGATGGCAGTATGCATGCCCTTATCACAGAATTTCTTTTATAACATTCTTCCCAGCCAACCAAAACACAGTCAACAATATCATTATGGCAGAGTACAACCAACTCATGAAAGATATCCCCAAAGATGACACTGCAGCAAGAAAGGAGAAGTTGCAGGCCATTTATGAGTGGAGTGAGAGCTCCTCAGCAGGCCCACTAACAAATCAGTCAAGTCCATTTCAGTCAGAGTCCACAATGCGAAGACACAGTTCTCCAGATTGGTGAGTGGTTGTAAGTGGGTGGGTGGCAGATCTTACCATTGAACAGGCTGAAGTGTGGTTGACTCTTGAAGATATTGAAATTGCTGGAGTTGTGATGTATGTTGGACAAGACCCTGCAGGCCACCAGACCTCTGGCATATTTGGTGGTTCCAATATCATATGAAAGTACAGCAATGAGTGTGCCATTGATGTTCAGGGACTTATGGACAAGTACACTGCAATATTTAAGTAGGTGATGTTACACATATCTTACTTGGACTCATTGCAATTAGGTGTCTCAGGGATGGTAATGGTACTGAGGCTGGATTATTAGGGACAAGTGCTTCTGCAAGTTCAGCTGTGTCATATCCATGACTCTTGGACTCAATCCCAGTCCAGTCCGGACCCCTAGCCCCTAACTCCGGTCAAGTCTGGTCCTAATCTGGCCTAGAAAACCCAACTCTGGCCCTAGATAACCCAACTCCAGCCTGAATAATTCAAGTCTGGCCTCTGGTGGGAGATGGACTTTCCCCTCACTAGACCTTGATGAGGTCCAGAGGGTTGGTGTGGTGGCTGCCCCACTGCCTAAGAAGTGAGTTATATGGGTGAAATCCCCATCAGGTGTTCAAAGTGAAACTAGTCCATCCCCCTCCATCCGAAGGATGGGCATCAAGCTTCCCTGAGCCAATGCTAAAAACAATCAGTGAGCCTTTAGAGGTATGCACAGCTGGGGGTATGACCCCAGGGCACTAGAGGGAGTTGCTTCGTCTGGGCCCTTCTGCAGGAGGTTTCCATTGGCACAGATATTCAGCCAGCCACCTCGCTTAATCCTGACACCTTTGTATACAAATTGGAGGTAATCCCCCAAAGAGGGTAGCAAAGGCACACCAGGAAGCATGATGTGTGGCCATTTTGACCCCTCTGGATTGGCTCCCTGTGTGGTCAGTAGTCCCCTTGTCAGGGTCTGTGTTATTGACCAGGAGGTTTTTAGTCAGTCGGGCCCCTTCGACACCTTGAGTGCAATGCTGTTTCCCTAGCATGGGTGGCCCAACCTGATATCACTGGGGTTGACAACCAGTACTCAGTTATGAGTTTTCCTCCTACCTAAACAAAAATAATAATAATAATTCAAGTCTGGTGCTTTACCCCTGTCTCCAGTCCATTCCAGCCTCCTGGCCTTGTGCTGCTCCACCCCAGTCCTCCCAGGTCCATGACCAGGTCACCCAGACATAACTCCAGTCTGTTTTCCCTTGTTTGTACTATATTTAGTCTAGTCCCCTTTGCTGATCTTGCTTACTGTACAAACCTGCATCCAACCCCAGTTATGCCAGTCACCCAGACTTAGACTATTAGTCTCAGCACAGCCTCTGTGGCTGTCCTACCTTGCTAATCCTCTTGCTAATAGCTTACCAACAAGTCCAGCTTCATGTTCATTACTCTGGACCTGCCTCATGTATTTAACCCCTGTACATACTTCATAGCACTCCAGTCAGAATATCAATTTAGTATTACCCTCAACTCCATATTACCCCTTGAGTCTACTCTATAGCTAAGGCCAAGCCTTAAGCTATCCCCAGCCCTTGTCCATTTTAGTAGCAATGCAGGTAGATTACAGTGAGGGACAAAAGCATTGCAATGTTTGTGAGGTGTGACTTGCTGCCAATGTAGCTCAGGCTATTCTGCACAGATAATCATGATACCTATACCATTGGAAAGGGGTGGCTATAAGCTTGCCAGAGCACTAAGGTTCAGTCCAATCAAATCAATACATGCTGAGATACACCCTATTCTTTCCAAAAGCTGCATTGCAACACTTTTGTCCCTGACTGGTGAAATAGTGAAAAGTGACCTTTTGATTGATGGCATGAAGGATGGGAAAATATGATTACATAATAAACCATATGATCTTCCAGATGATTTTTCAGCATGTAAACAATAACAAACATTGGACTTGTACCATTAACCCTCCCTCTTTTATCACAACTCATGAAATCATCTCTCTAGCTCACATGGTCATTTTCTCAAGGAATTCTTATCAAATACTGGTGGCCACCACAGTGCCATCAGTATAACATGCTCTCAGAACCATCAGTCCCTTAAAAAACCTGTTGTCAGTCATTCCCTGGACTGTTTCCCCACCCATGCCTGATGTGTTCTGGGAATAATCAGTACTTGGAAGGCTGAAAATGTTATGGAGGTCAATCTGGTACTTCAGAACATGATGGACAAACTAGCCCCCTCTCAGCCAATGCATTTCTGGCACAGGAACACTGGTATGGAAGTTGGGGTGAGACAAAACCTCCTTGTGCTCTGAGCACCATAAGAGGGTTCACTAGATCTTGCTCTGATGTGAACTGTAGATGACTGGGGAAGGATTATTTGGTCATATGTGACCAAAGGCAATATTCAGGGCCAGATGGAAGCACAGGATTCTGCTCCATGGCAGTTCAGTAGCATATCCTTCTGATGACACCCAGGGGTAAAGAGGATTTTGTCTTGCCCTAACTTCCATACCACTGTCCCTGTGCCAGAAATGCATTGGCTGAGAGGGGGCTAGTTTGTCCATCATGTTCTGAAGTACCAGATTGACCTCCATAACATTTTCAGCCTTCCAAGTACTGATTATTCCCAGAACACATCAGGCATGGGTGGGGAAACAGTCCAGGGAATGACTGACAACAGGTTTTTTAAGGGACTGATGGTTCTGAGAGCATGTTATACTGATGGCACTGTGGTGGCCACCAGTATTTGATAAGAATTCCTTGAGAAAATGACCATGTGAGCTAGAGAGATGATTTCATGAGTTGTGATAAAAGAGGGAGGGTTAATGGTACAAGTCCAATGTTTGTTATTGTTTACATGCTGAAAAATCATCTGGAAGATCATATGGTTTATTATGTAATCATATTTTCCCATCCTTCATGCCATCAATCAAAAGGTCACTTTTCACTATTTCACCAGTCAGGGACAAAAGTGTTGCAATGCAGCTTTTGGAAAGAATAGGGTGTATCTCAGCATGTATTGATTTGATTGGACTGAACCTTAGTGCTCTGGCAAGCTTATAGCCACCCCTTTCCAATGGTATAGGTATCATGATTATCTGTGCAGAATAGCCTGAGCTACATTGGCAGCAAGTCACACCTCACAAACATTGCAATGCTTTTGTCCCTCACTGTAATCTACCTTCATTGCTACTAAAATAGGTCTATCTTTCATCAGGTCCACCATGCTGTTATCATTTGCAGTTGCACAATTTTCCCCCATTTAATCTGCTACATTGGCCCTTCACTGTGCTCTGTGAGTTAGTATAAAAAGTAGATAATGTTACCTGTGCAATAAGTCAATACAGACCTGCTATTACACTGTGCTCACATTCTTTCCTTTTATAGACTTTGTATGATACATTTCACACTCATCACAGTCTCAAGTGATAATGTTCTGTCACCCACAAGCCACTGCCTATGCAGTTGGACTTGCATTCCATATGTTTCCTTTTATATCTTACCCCTGTTTACCCCATGTTGTACTATAGCTGGACTGTGTCCATTCACCCTTCCTTCCATGATCTGCTGGTGGCCCTGATCCACATGGTCACATGACACATGTACCCCTGGTACCTGTTCACCCCTGTATGTCATATACACAGTTATCCCTCCTTCATCATATGTTCACCCCCAGTTCCCTCCACTCTGCAGACTTGGTCACCCTTATGCCTGCATAAGTCTGACTTGATGATGCCTTAGTTGGAGATTGGGTGTATGTATAAACATTTTTGAATGTTTGGTCTGCAGCTACTCTACACATGTATATAAACACACATGTATTGTACTGCTCCCTCATTTGAAATCTACTTTGCAACCACCCTTAGCTCTCCTCACTGTACCCACAAGGACTCAACAGTATGACTTCAGTTGGCCAAGACTAGTGTCCTACTGCTAGTGAAGTTAAATTGCACATCACCTCTCATGCAGTCACATGCTTGTGCTACATTGCACTCAATTTGTGACATGATACAAGTTGTTGGCAGAACACCTGCATGGTGGATCTGTTTGTCTTGAAGCTGCCACGGAATTGATTTGAGAGCATTTTGGTGTTCTGACATATAGTACTCAGTTTCTGACAATGCTTGACTTATACTTTGAAATTCTGACTGTCCATGACTCACCTATTACCAATACTTACCAATCTTTTGACTGTGCTTACTGATTCCTCACTTTTTGGCTTACTTATCCTTACCAATGCTCACCAATGCTTTCTTAACCAATTATGCACCACTTACAGTCCTTACTTATCAGTTACCAACCACTTACCAAGTGTTTGCACCTTGTTTTCCATAGGCAATGCCTCTGTACTGTATATAAATCACTGTACTTAGATAGCTGAATAAGAAGAAGATGTCAAAGAGCCCCTCTTGCTCACATTTTCATTGTCCCTCAGTAATTCATTCATCAACTTCAATAGTTGAGACTTTATTAAGTGTCTAACCATCATCTACCTCACTTATCATCATCTATCATCAATCAGCTTTGCTCCAAGTCCTCCCTGAGCTTAATACAGCTCAGAACATTGAATTAAGTCATCATCCATCCTTCTGTAGGCTGACAACAGCATACCCCATCATAATCCTCTCATATTCCTGCTCCCTCTTTGTCAGGAGCACCCCCAATCCTCAGCACTCATCTTGAGTGTTGTAACTGACAAAAACCCACCTGAATAAGAGCTTCCACCATCTAGGTACTGCATAGGCATGCCACTACTTGCTTTCATTGTCTTTTGTGTTGGTTTTGGTTGGTTTTCATGACTGAACCCACTTTGACTCACACTGGGAACATGTTGGTGGTGACAGGGATAGCAGTAGTCATTTGAGGGGTAATCATGAACTGGTTTGGTAGTGAGAATATCAAGACAATTTGGTGAGACATCATATAGTCTTTAGAGTGCAGGGCTCTAACCTTACAGACATTCCTATATGAAATAAGCTCAGTCATGCATGAGTAGCAACAATGTCTGGGAGGATAAGTATAGTAAAGGTAAAAGGGTGCTCATGCTCACCTCAGTCATGTGCAAGTAGCAACAACATCTGGGTGACAAGTCTGCAATGAGAGAATAAATACTGTTAAGTATAACAATACTAAGACACTCAGGTGTTGAACCTGGAGTTTGCATGACAAGGGCAGTCTCATTGTGGGACACACTACATTCTTCATAAGTAACAAGCAACATGCCCATAAGTGTGAGACAGACTTGGAGTGGACACATTTGGACTATCCATGACTTGCCAAATCTAACAAAGATCTCACAAAAGAAGATCAAAGTGTGTCATTGTCCCAACAGGCACCATACAGCAGATATACTAATTAAAGTGCTACTCAGGGACTAACATGAGAGACATACCAAAGAGATGGGTATGGCTCCAGCTTAGGGGGAGTGTTGGTATCACAGAGTAAATACTGGAAATTCCCAGTATTTCAAACAGGTAGTAGATGATTAGTGAAGTGTTGTCCTCTTTACCTGACTTTTGCTTACATCATACAAGCTTACATAATAAATCTTCGCACTTAGGATGTTTGTTTTTCCTTCAGGTGTACCTCAGACTTCTTCTAACTGAAGCCTGAGTCTCCTTCCTAGGTCCCTTGTCTCATCCTACCTTCAAGAATGATAGTAGTATCTAGTAGATTATTCTAGATGATAATTACAAAGGGTATATAAGCCTATGTACATGGGTGGATGGATGATCAGTTTGTCCTATAATCAACCACTTGAGTGAGGTCATAGCCAACACTTTGAGTAGGGATCTGTGGGCCCAGGGCCCAAGATGACAAGGGTTGTATTGTACAAAATATGTGCACATCAAACTCAGAAGGCACTGTCAAAAAGATGCTGATGGTATGTCATGTGACATCATGTGACATGTCAGGGTGGGGGGGGGTTGAGCAAAAGAAGCTCGCAGTGCTCAACATTCAGTGTTTAACATCTAGCATACCCAACACTGGTGGTTCCTTTGTCTTTTCGTCGATGGAGTGCAACAAATCAACATATGCCTGAACCGCGCACGAGTCTTGATAACTTAGATCTCACCCTCCGAATTATGGCCGTCCAACTCTGTGGAGTTAAGGAGACCACAGGAGCTCGAGATATTCAGAGTGTCGACCGATGGCGACGCAAATTAGGACCGGGGGGGCTGGCCATAGCCTCAAGTCCAACAACACACACAGATATAGTTTTATGTATCTGAGTGCGTCTTTTTTTTGACACACTCCTGTGTTCCGTGGGTACCAGTGGGTGCTCTGCAAAGCACTAAGAACGCGTCACGTTTCTTGTGCATTCTTTTGTTCTGCTGACGTGCTGGGCAGTGTATTAAAAGCAGTCTGCATAACTACAGAATTCTTTTGTTCCGCCAAAGTTGGAGAGGACCTACAGATTGTGTGCGCCTATCATCTCGTGCATGGCACCAGTCAATAACCGAGGAAATTGACAACAGGAATGACCATTACAGTGCAATGGACAGTGTGAACTAAATTTGGATTTCCGAGACGGCCGAACAGGAGATGTACTTAACAGCGATGAGGTGGCACGACTCTTGCCACTCAGTACTCAACGTTCAACGGTCAACCTCCAGGCTCCCATCACCACACAACAGTAGTGCCCACCTAACGCGACTCCTGTTCTATATCTTCACCTGCCAGTGACCATGTCTGGTCCCAGCGGCGCAACAGTGGAAAATCTTTCTCCGCCACCCCCACGCACAATTACAAATGCTGGCCAACGTCAAACGACTCCAAGCAACCAAGGCCTCTCTGCGGCGAGCGGACAGCTCCATATCCACGGCGTTCGGTGCGTTCGTCCACTTTTGTCTTCATCGAGATAAACCTGATTCGTGACAACAACCAAGTGTTAACGATCTGATACCTTGGGTCACGGAAGACGTCCGAAAAGCACAGCAATGCGAGGCAGACAAAATGCTCGAATACATACTGAGGCGTGCTTCGGAGACGCCAGATGACCTTGAGAACTTGGATAGTTATACCCTATTGGGCAGATGCATGGCGGAAGTTCTGGGCATATGTAATGAGGAGGTCAAAGATATCAACGGATTCCCGGTCTCGAATATCAAAAAGGCTCTCATAGAATAGTAAGTTTCGTGACTTGCGTGCCAGAGTTGATGTCAGTGTTCTTTGCTAACGTCTTGCACCAGCACGGCGTGCGCACAGGAGGATGGCTTGTACCAGCCCTTTGTCCAGGCGTCCAACACTGCTCTTGCGTACCTGCGGGAGCTGGATATCGTTGGTATGCGTAAAGGGGAAAGCGCGGAAGTACAGATATTCTTTCAGCGCAACGATCCAAAGGTCATCTCTCAACGCCACGCAGGGCATACCTCCCAACGCAAACCAGATATTATCGCTATTCCATTCACGAAGGGCCCCCAGTGTTCTACAGAGACTGCACCCAGCGGCTGGGGCGACCATGTATCGACGATAGGTCCAGGTAAGGCACCCACGGCGAGCTTGTGGAAGGATGTGCTCGGCGTCTTTGAGTTTAAGCGATCCAAGTCGAAGAAGAAGATGACGGCGCCTCCCCAGAAATACGGCGTGTCAGTGTACCGACCTTCTAAACCAATGTTTTTGGAGATTGGCAAAGATGGAAATGAACGGGAGGCTTTCGCCGCCACGCGAGCGACACTCGCGGCACAGGCTCTGCGTAAGTAATGGAACTACACTGTTCAGTCAGGCTCAACATGCAGCCAATAGTTGGCAGCACAGCTCGCAACATGACTCCTCAAGGCACTCCAGCGGGATCCAGGAAACGCACTTTGGGGTCCGATTCTGAGTCTCGCGCGAGCAAGCGATCCAGGGCCGATGAGCCCCGGGCACACGTAACAATCCAGACAGCGTTGTACGTTGCCGAAATGCAGTCCGCCAATATTGGGATGAAGCATGGCCTCAATTACATTGTTATAGGTGCGTATTTTTTTCTCGCTAGTGAGCGGATTGCGCTGGACGCCTTTCAGGCGACGACATTTGGATTTGGTATTACGACCATCAAGGCCTCATAAGCGTGGGGGGGTTCAATTTTGTTCAAGATCTCCCTCGCTTTCTGGTGCTGTTATACGCTCTCCAGCGATTCAACTTGGAGGACTGGGGTCGAAACACAGCCTTTCAACCGAATCTAAAAGGGGACCGCATTGAGTCTCACACTATCAATGTCGATGGATATACACTGACACTGGACAACTCGAAGAGAAAGACCCGGCTTGGGCTGGGAGGTCGTGGGACTCATGTTATGGACGTCACCTGCAATACACTAATGCAGGAGAACCTTACGAACTCGCTCGACGGCGCGGTGGCGAAAATTTACTGGGGGGAGGAGGCACGAAAGGAAGAGGAAGAAATTTTGAGATGCGTTGAGAATACTGCGAAGACTGTCGGGAACGTCAAAGAACACGTGCCAGTCTTGATCTTGTCGAAGAAGTTTCCGGTTTCCACATGTAAAGTTAGAAGAGCTCTTGGCCTCACGAACCCTGAGAAAGGCAGCCGGACGCTCGTCCTGCTCGTGTTCAAGAAGCTTTCGCCAATCGAAGAGCTCCCAAGCGACGCACTGGTCGTCGCATGGTGGCAGTGTGTTTTGTGTAAGTCCCACTTTGTTTTTGTAGCGCCTTAATTCTGACAATCATTCTATTCTAGGTCACCATGCCCTCTGGAATGACGGGATCCATCATCGTGACGTGAGCGTCGAAAACCTGATGTACTATAAGGTGGGCGGCAAGGTGATGGGCGTCTTAAACGATTACGACCTTTCGTCTTTGGCAAGTTCTCCCAGCCCGTTGGGTAACGAGAGGACTGGAACGATACCGTTCATGGCGATCGATCTCCTCGAGGAAGCTGGTCAGAATGGCAATGTGAAGCACCAATACCGCCATGATATGGAATCGTTCATCTGGGTATTCATCTGGATTTCCCTGCAGTTCAAGGACGGCACGTCGCTAGACCACGGACCCCTGGATTCATGGGCCGAAGTCAATGCCCATAGATGTGTTGCAATGAAGAGGAATTTCCTGATGGGCTCTGGCCTTCAAGTCCCTGGCGATACCCCCAACTTCGCTCTTGTGTTGACGCTCGCGAAATTTCTTGGGCAGAGGCTCAATGCCCGTAATGATTTCATCATTGACCAAAGGATTGCTCTGGCAAACAAGGCAAATGGAGGGCCAGTGACTGCTTCACAGCTTGAAGATACCATCAAGGAACTCGACAATGACAATCAGCTTGCTAAGGAAACAACAGATACGGAGTTTCGAGAGCTTCGTACTGCATTGGAGCTGTATATTGATACAGATTGTGTCCAGTAAATTTTCTCCGTAAGACCTTCTATGATATGCCAAAGAAGCACAATAGGCTTGCCACAGTAACATAGAATATATTTGGCTGTATCAGGCTTCCAGAAGAGGAGCATTTCTTGTACTGAAAATGTCACCACAAACACAGGAAGCTTGTTCTCCAGAATTTTGGCATTGGAGACCTGGTGATAAACAATTATGACATCACAAACCAAGTGGGAGCAAGGAAGGACATGCATCAACTTAACAGATATCCAAGACCTTGCTGTCACTGATGAGTCCCTGACAAAGGTATTGTTCCATCATTGCCCACAACACATTTTAAGTCTGTACCAAATGAATGGTGCATCCTTACATCACAAAAATTCCCCAGAAGCTTAGAGGTTCCAGCGACCCACAGGAGGATATACCAGTCTTTAGAGAATCATCCTCCCTCAGATAGACCCAGTCCTCAAGAAATCCTGCAGACTGGCTTACAACTGTTTGCAAAACAAGGTGGAAAATCTGTTTGAGGATTAGGGCCTGAATGGTAGTGGAATTTCCACTTCCTTATGCAAAACATATACAAACCAACTCTGTGTGGAGTTCAGCAGACTTCTAAGTTGATACTCAGCTGTGATCACATGGCAATCGACCTCATACACCACTATGCCATCAAGACCATCACTATGGTTGAGAATTGCCTCATTGCCACAAGGGACAAGAATGATTTGGACAAGGAGGATGAAGATTCTGATACCTCATCTGATATCACTCAGAGGGTGCTAGTCTTGCAGCAGATTTGGAACTATATGGTGGTTGCCACTACACTTGGTCTATACCAGGCTGCAGTCTCAACACTTCAAAATGCTACCCCAGAACCTTACCATACATCTGCTCTTTCAGGACAGGGATGGCTAAATGAGTTGCTTAATGGGCACCCCAAGCAGATCAGAACTGAGCTTGGCATCCACAAATATATCTTCCTCAGGCTGATATCCATCCTTTGTGAAGGGGATCTCCAAGATTCAAAGAATGTCACATTAGAGGAGCAGCTGGCAATTTTCCTGTATGCAATCAGGCTTATCAGCTTGGCACATCGGTGAGCAATTCCAACACTTGATGGATACAATATCATGGTGAGTGCACTGTTGTTTGGATTGAAATTCTGCTAAACTTTACCCAGGTATTTTAAACAAATGCTCCATGCATTCTCTGAGGGTTGCATTTATACCACATATGTTCTCCTTCCCAGAGCCAATTCACCAGTCCCCAGTCATATCACCACCAATCCCAAATTTCATCCATACTTCAAAGATGCCATAGGTGCCCTTGATGGTACACACATTGCATGTGCACCATCCACAAGTGAACAAGACCTTATGTGCAACCACAAGAGTTTCTTATCTCAAAACTGTCTTGTCACATGTTCATTTGATGGTATCATCACATACATTCTCGGAGGCTGGGAAGGGTTGGCTGCTGATGCCATGGTCTACCACAATGCCTGCTTGTGGGACTTTGCTATTCCTGATGGGCAGTATTACCTTGCTGATGTGGGGTATCTGTTGACTCCACAGCTACTCATAATGTACTGTGGCCAATGCTATCATTTGGCTGAGTGGGGGCAAGCCAATCTACAGTAAGTACCACTACATTTTTATGTGTGTTTAATTCTCATTCATTCCCTACAGGCTGAGGCATGGCAAAGAGCTTTTCAACCTTTGCCATGCCATGCTCCAAAACGACATCGACTGTAACTTCAGAGTTATAAAGCAATGTTTTTGAACCCTCGTTCTCCCACCTGAATATGACATGGCAATCCAGTCCCACTTGCCTGTGGCAGCATGCTGTGTTCACAATATCATCTGCCTCCATGATCCTGATGACATTGACATGCCAGATACCAATGAATTCGATGAAGACAATGGGCCACTTTTAACATCTGAAGAAATGGACATTGGAAGCTTGCAAGATACTCCATTGAATGCTGGGTTACATAGTCAGATGAATGCTGTGCATGACACAATTGCAGCACAAATGTGGGAAGATTATCGCACTGAGCTCACAAGAAGGGGTTGATTCAGTAGTTCAGTAGCTAGTCTTGCATAATATCCATGTATCCACTATGTCACCCTCAATTTTCATGCTTGCATGGCAATTTTAAAACAGTAGTGATTGCTGTATAGACACACAAGTACAGATGAACTACTTATTTCCCCCCCAAATTCACATATTCTGGAACCTTGTAGCCAGCAGCCTTGAGCCTCATCTTAACCCACAGCATTTGGTATGTTGCCAACTGAGTGGCAGCATTCTTGTAACCTGTGACATAGGAGGATTTCTCTTCAAACAACATTTGCAAGTGGACTAGGTTCTGCTCCAAAAGGTTCTTCTCAAGCTCAAACATCAACATGCATGCTTCATTGAGACTTTGGCCCTTGGGATTGTTGAGGGTTGCAAGTGTCTTGGAGGCACTGTCTTGCACACTGGACATTAGATCCCACACCACATCTTCAAGGCCAGCTGTCTGTGAGTGCCACTTCTGAGAACTGCTGGAACTGCCCATGGAAGCCACTGTGGATGTGGTGTTGAGCCCAGCAGTGGCATCACTTTTGCACTTCTTGCCATGAGATGGAAGTGCATACTGATGTCATTGTGGAGGATGGTGGTGATGTAGGAATGGACAAAGGGGAAACTGTCAGGCCAGGCAGGGACACAGGTGGCACACCAGACAGGGCCTATGAAATACCCTGTGGTACAGGTGTACCTTGAACATTTACAGTGGGCTGCACACTCCAGGGAGTCTGCATGATTTGATGTTGATTAGGGAACCTGGATTGATCCTGCACAAAGGTAAACTGTGTGGTGGGTTGCACAGGTGGTAGCTGATACTGTGTATGAGGATGTGTGAACAGTATCTGATGCTGCACAGCAGGCTGTGGGAATGATGGTGGTGTGGTGAGCTGCATAGATGCAAGCTGAGGTGATATGACAGGGTGTGTGATGGAGCTGGGAAAATCAAATGACATGGAAGTAGAAGCCTGGGACCTTTGGGTGGGGGGTCAGGCACCAGCAGCATGGTGTGCATTTGTGCCCCTCGCCTTGTCAGGAAGGGCAAGGTCTCGCATATGATCAAAGTATTTGAAGCCCATGTTTCGGTATTGGGCAGTATCTGGCTGATTCTAGGGGAAGGTCAAGGATTTTTGTGCCACACCAGGAAAAAATCTCAGACATACCTCAATGACATCATCCATCACAAGCTGCCCTGCCTCAGTTACAACATCAGCACCAATATGTGAGCCCTGATCCCCTTGCAAGAGCTAAAGCTGCATAGTAATCCCATTTCAGCTTTGTATGAGATGAGTGATACTGAATGCAAGGATAAATCAATAAATGCACACTTTCCCACTTGTCATAACAGCTTTTCACAGTTTTATGGTAGCCATTGGCTTGGACAGGTAAGCAAGATACCAAATCGTTGAAGTGCCCTAGTTGAAAGACCATACAATCACCTGCCTTGGGTCAGATTTCCTCTGCAAAATTGAGAAGCATCTTGACATCTGTATGGGGCCATACAGCTAGCAACTTCAGCTGAGGCTCAGAGCTCAAACTGATTGATGGAGCCTTTCCTTTTGACCCAGAACCCCTACCTTCCATCTTGCTGTGAAGTTGATGTGAGCAGTGGGTTGGGGACACAGAATGGTCTAGCCTGCAATAAAGGTTGGTTTGTCAAGGTGGCATATCATATTATGCATACATGGTAGCTGTGATTCATCACCTGATCAGTAAACACCACAGTCACAGATAGTCCACAATTATCAACTTAGAAGTCTGCTGAACTCTGCACAGAGTTGGTTTGCATATGTTTTGCATAAGGAAGCAGAAATTCCACTACTGTTTGGGCCCTTAGTCTGTTCAGATATAGCTGGGATAGGACCCTGAAACCACCACTATGTATCATTTTGTACTGTAAGCATGTACTTAGACTTTGTCCCTACTGCAGACTGGTTTTTCAACATGTCATTGCAATTGCAATCCCCCACTCCTGATGCAGAAAAATTGTGTTCTTTCATGATTTCACTCTCTGTCTATGGACCCAAGAAAAAGGAGAAGGGAAAGACTGCACCAAAAGCAACCATGAAGACAAAAGAGCTTACTTTTGCTGTCAATGATACTAACTACCTTGATTTTCTACAACATGTACTGGACAAGCATGGCCAAGGACAATATAGGGTCTCAAGCAGTAATCATTTTCCCTTCAAGTTTGTACTTCTGTAGGAATAGGTAATAGATAATCCTAGAAATAGTAATTATTGATGTGTGAGTATATTCTTGACACAAAAGGGAGGTTCTTGCTGGAGAAAAGAAGTGTAGTAAAAATGTAAAAATGTGAAACAGAACAAAATACTTAGCTCTGCTTGCTGCCTGCTGTACTAAACCTCTTGCCAGTCCTCCTGGCCCTTTGGCTACTCCCCAAAGTAATAGATTTGACTGCAAAAGCTCACCAAAATGTGAGACTAATTCACCCTGCTACTGAGGGCCTCTGACATGAACTTCATTTTGGTAAACTGAACTCATGCAAACACAGCATGTGTGCTTAGTCAGCAATGCAGCTGCTCGCCACTAAGTCTGTTTATTCCGAAAAATTTTCAGGTGGCTGTGCTTACAGCCACTGCAAACTTGCTGACTAAGCGGAAGGCGTGCATGCGAGAAAGTGAGGGTTGGGAGACTTGTGGGCGTTGCACAACCCTTGCTTGTACATCTGTACTCAATTCAATGCTACTGGAAGCCACTCTATGTTGGCCATGTAATTATTCACGAAATAAATGGGTATTCTGCGAAGAGACCCACCCAAATTCACTAGATGAGTGGTGTTCAGGTGCGGGAAGCGGTCATGTGATCACCCCTCATGTGTGGCACTTGTGCTTCAGGTTCAGCTGCACACGTGCAAATGTGCACTCGCAAAAAAATTGGCACAGGCCGCCCTCCTGCCTGGGAAAATTTGCTTATCTGGCTGCAAATTTCCCAGTGCTAAGTCACTTAGCACACTTTACAATGGATTTTGCACTTTACAACCCATTCCCAATGAAAATTTCCCACTTTTCATTG